ATATTTGCAAAAGTGATCCTATAAACACATGAAAAAAACACAAGGACATTGCTTTCAAAGTACTTATGCAGCTAACAGAACTGATCATAAATTCAAAGAAGAAACTAACAAACACATATCTGCAATGATGGATCTGTGAATGGTAGTAAAAAAACGATGCCCATAATGCTGATTGTACATGTTCAGAATGTTGCTGTGCAGACTGTTTGAAAGGCAATTATATAGCAAATAGAAATGATCGTAAATCTGAGGCAAAAACTAACAAGCAGGATATTTGCAATAATGCACCTATGACTAGTAATAAGAAAAACAATAATAATAATAACCACGATGACGATTGTGTTGACTGTTCGCATGATAATTACGTATCAAGAAGAGTTGATCCCAAATCTAAGGCAAAGAATGACATGAAGGAAGTTTGCAATGATGGACTTATAAATGGTAGTAAAAATAATGGACATGCTGCCGATTGCACATGTTCACAATGTTACTGTGCTGACTGTTTAAAAGGGAATTATATAGCAAACAAAATTGATCCTAAATCTAAGGTAAAAAGTGATAAGCAGGATGTTTGTAATGGTGAGCCCTTGAATAGCAATGACAAGAGTAACCATGATGCCGACGACTGCGTTGACTGTTCCAAGACAATTATATAAAAAACAAAACTGTTCCTAAATCGAAAGTAAAAACTGTTAAGCAGGATATTTGCAATGATGGACATATAAATAATAATGCAAAGAACAATAACCACGATACCGATTGCGTTGACTGTTCGCAAGAAAATTACATTAAAGCAGACCTGAGCCTGAATCTAAAGTGAAAAGTGACAAACAGGATATTTGCAGTAATACACTTACGAACGGTGATAAGAAGAACAATGGTCATAATGCCGATTGCACATGTTCAGAATGTTACTGCGCAGACTGTTTACAAGGCAATTATATAGCCAATAAAATTGATCGTGTTTCAGAAAAGAAGACTGCAGTTAAAAAGGAAAAAAGATCCTACCAAGAAATTTGCAATAACAATGCTAAGACTGGCGAACAAAAAAACAACGCAAAAGTCAATCACGATGCAGATTGTACCTGTTTAGAATGTATCTGCACAGTTTGTCTAGAAGAATACGAAGCTGAGGTAAAGAGTTACAAGCAAAACACAGTTAAGAAAGGAATAATTAGTCAGAAAATCTGCGATGATGATAATATAAATAACAATCAGAAAAGTAACGGTCATGATCTCAATTGCTCTTGCTCAGAATGTTATTGTATGGATTGCATGAAAGGTAACTTCATGGCTAAAAATATAGAGCCAAAGACTAAAAGGAAAGGTGATAAAGACCGTAAAAATTCAACAAAAAGTAGCCACGGTGCAGACTGTGATTGTCCGGAATGTTGCGTGATTTGTTTAGAAGAGCAAATGCAGATCACAGCTGAAAAGCAAAATAATAATGCGTCATCCCCTGTTGGAAAGAAGGATAATTTTGACTCGTGGTTATGTCAGGACGCGATTATTGATAGCTGTCACAGTTCCACTTGTGACTGTCATGTAAACTTTTTGAATGAAAGTGACGACATAGATAAATCCTTAGAAATAAATTCAAGAAAAACTGAACATGATTTTGATTCTTGGTTATGCCAGGACGCGCCTAGTGATAGTTGCCACAGTTCAACTTGTGATTGCCATGTAAACTTCTCAAACGAATCAAATGAAAAAAAATCAAAAAACAATGGAAAAGAAAAGAATATTGACTCACCAAGTTTTGATTCTGATAACTGTAGTTGCGAAGATTGTGCCGAAGATAATTTATCAAAAGACATTGATGAATGCCATAATGGTGTGAATAAACAAGATCACGAAGATGATTGCTTATGTCCAAAATGTCTTTGCATAGAGTGCATGGCTGGAGATTATATCACAGACATGGAGAAACCCAAATCAGATATAAAAAGTTCAACTAAAGACCAAGAGAACACTGATGAATTATGTATAGATAATGCAAATCAAGAGCAGCAGATAAAAGATCCACAAGATATTGAAGAATGCAATTGTGATGATTGTCAAGAAGAAGCAAATGATAATATAAATCAAAATATTTCACTTGCGCACTCAAAGAAAATTACTGAAAATGAACATTCTTCTAATTGCGATTGTTCAAAATGCTGCTGCATAGAATGCTACATTGAAAATATGGAAAACAATGACGTTGGAAAACAGAAAAGCGATGATTTAAATAAATCTGTTGATAGAGAAGAAAATGAACAAGTTGAAGAATGTGATTGCCCCGATTGTGTGAATGACTCAGCTGAAAGCATTAGTAAAAATAAAAATAATATAAAATCTAATAATACAAGCCCAGGAAATAACAAACTGATGCAAAATGGTACTAATGATATTAATGATGATTGTATTTGTATGGACTGTACTAAAGAAAATCTTAGCAATTCTATCCGTCAAAACAGTAACGAATATAAGGAAGCTATTAATAACAAACAAAATAAAAGTAGCTTTCAGAGTAGTTGTTTATCAGCAAATAATGCCGGCGTAAAATCCAACGCTAAAGTTGGATCGACTATGCAAAAGATTGTGAGTTCACATAAAAGTAATCTTGATCGAGAAAATGATAGACAAGATCATCATAAACCAGATTGTATGTGTTCAGAATGCTGCTGTGCAGGTTTCATAAAGCAAAATGTGAAGGCAAAGGATGTAAAACAAAATCCAATATCAATAGATCCGCTGGCAAAGCCAGTAACTCAACATTAAAATCTAACATAAAACCACCAGCAACTAACCAAAGAAGCATCAATTCCGACAATAAAATTATTAGTTCTGAGAAAATGAAATGTGGTAAGAATGAAAATTCTGTTGTGATGAAATCTAATTCAATTTCTCATGAAGGAATCCAAAAAAATCAAAATGCTGTTGATCGCAATAATAATCTGAACAAAGACAGCGCAGATCACGGACCAAATTGCATATGCTCACAATGCTTTTGCGCACGATTTATGAAAAATAATATCGAAAAAAGTAGAACTAACCAAAAATCTTCTATAAAGACGCCAGCAAGTAGCATTATTTCCAAAGTAGGTACAAAAAGTCAATCAGAACCCTGTAAGTCTAGACCCAGCTTAAAGACTAGTACCAACTCACCTCCAATCGTTGAAAGTCAAGGAAGTAATGGGCATAGTGATAATTGTAAATGTTCTGAATGCCGTTCTGCTTCCTCACAACAGCAATCTTATAAAAGACTCCATGAATACGATTCAGAAAGAATCGTTCAATGCTGCGATTGTGAAGAAGAAGCTTCAGTAAATCCTTCCAGCATTTATGTAGGAAATACTGCCAAATCTAGCAGAACTAGCAGCATCAATCAGAAAAAGCAATCGTCTAAAGTTCTATATGTCGATTCCAAACAAAAACCTAAAAATCTCAAGCCAAACGGTCATAAAGAAAATTGTACTTGCCCAGAGTGCTGCTGTGAAGAATGCATTGCCGCACTTTCAGCGGGCCCATCCAAAGTAGCCGCTAAAACTAGGCCTGAAAAAATCAATCAAAAGAAAGCATCATCGAATATTTCATATCGACGTCCATGTGATAATTTAGCAGAAACTCGAGTTGTATCAAATCAACATTCTCATGTTAAAAATTGCGATTGTCTTGATTGTCAAGCAAGTACAGCTTTTGCTCAGAAAAATGTTCAAGAGCAATCAAACGATGGGAACCAATTCCAACAGGATCGTTCCTGTGATGACTTATTCCCGGTCAACACTACTGGAATGAATACTGATGTACTTTCGGCAACCAGCTCCGAATGCAGTTGCACACCATGTGTATGCGATGATTGTCTAGATGCACTAAAGCTTTCAATCGGCGCCTCTACAAAAACATCTGTAATTTCTAACAAGAAAAACAGTACACCAACAGTAATTGACAAAATACTTGTATCAAAACCAGATTTAACAGACTGTACATGTGAGGATTGTTTAAGAGAAGAGGAAAATAATGAAATCAAAAAGAAAAATGAATTGTCAGGAAGAGGTGATCAAACTGAAAGAAATAAATGTATTAAAAAAGCATCGAATCTGGTCGAACAAAATTTATCAAAAGCAAAGACATCACTTGGAAGAACAAATATAAAACGTTCCATAATTTCTGAAAAGAGAAGCTCCATGTTAGTAAGCAATAAAAAAGTAGAAGAATCACCTAATTTAATAAATTGCAAATGTGAAGACCTATTGAGAGAAGAAGAGATAAATGAACAAAAGAAAAGGATTGAACTATCTGGGAAAGGTGATCGAGATAGCTGTGAATGCATACCCCAAGTTTCTCCACTAGTCCACGTAACTAGTGAAATAGAACAAAAAATACCAAATCATGCAGAAGGTTGCGATTGTCCAGCTTGTGTTTGTGGTGACTGTAAACCACAAAACAATAATGGATATACAAGTCAAAAAAGAGAATCGTCAGATATAAAAATGGTCACCAAAAGATCGATTACTATTGATTGTGATTGCAACAACTGTTCAGTAGAACCAAAAAAGGTTCTATCCGCCGTAAAATCTATACCAAAAGTAATGTCATCAAATAAGAAGACAGTAGAAACGATGAGTAGAAGACAATCTAAATGCTCATGCAATGAATGCATAATGGAGAATTCTAAACAATCCTCGACTCCATCAAGAATGAGTAGGAAAACGAACAAAGAAACAGAGTGTCTATGCGAAATTATTTTAGAGCAGGAGGAAAATAATATAAGACAAAAACAGAAAAAAAATGAAGAACCGGTAGTGAAAAAGGAGCCAGAGCCAATGCGACCATCAGAGAGTGAACGGCAGTATTCGGACGCATTTTGCAATAATAATAATCCTCCTGTCACGGCTCAACTAACTTTGCCAGGCAAAGCTAATAAAGTTCCACCGGCAGTTTTAACAAATTGCGATTGTGAGACATGCTTAGAAGAAGAGGAAAAAAATGAGCAACATAAAAAAACAGAACTGGGGATAAATAAAAGTTACCAAGTACCAAATGCAAATAATGCACTTTTTATGTGTATTACGAGTAACGTGCGTCCGAGTGAAGAACCTGATAAAAGTAAGGGTGGAACACCTTCTGCACAACAAGCTTCAGATTTTGCAACAAAACCATTAGCTCAAAGTAGTAGATCGTCTAAAGTGAGCCAAAAGGCAAGCAAACCTGTCTGTAATAAACCTAGTAACCAAAAAAGTTCTATTGAAGTGTGCTCATGTTTACCGTCAAATATATCGACAAATTTTGACAATAAAAATAATTCTGCTAGAAAACAAAAAAGTTCAATAAATCCCAAAATTTGTGATATCAATACCTGCACTTCTCGTGGTACATCTACTGCCGCATTAAATAAATCAACTCATGTAGATTGTATGAATACTTCAGAAGTGAATCGACACAGCAGTCAAGATTCATGTACTTGCCCAGAAAATAAGCAATTACCTAAAATAAAATCAAATTGTAGATGTATACGCTGTTACTGCGACAATTGTGGAAAAGCCAAAATACCAGACAAGATACCACATGGAGATCAAGTTGTTGATGATTGTGGCTGCCTTTTTTGTGAATGTGATGAAATACCAAAAAAGACACCCGGCATGCAAGCAAATAGTATGAATCAAACAACTTTCCAAGAAAGTTTATCAGAATCAGTAAGTGAATGTCTTTGCAACGAGTGTGATTGCGAGCTTGAAATATGTGCAGCATCAAATAAAGGTGGTTCTAAAACTCAGCCATCTTCAGGTTACCAAACTCCAAATATAAGTAATTCTCAGAAAGCTTGCCAGACACCAGGAAAGTCCCAGCAGTGTCAAACAATGCCAGAGAAACACTCGCAACAAACACAAAAAGAGTCAGTTTTTAGTTTATGTGATTGTGGGCAACAATGTGTTCCTCCAGATTTAGAGTGTAAACAGCAAACTGACGACACTGTAGGCAAACCTAAAAAGACTGTAGAAAGTGGTACAAATCCTGAACTAAAGAAAGCGCGAGCAGGTCTTGATGGTTCCTGTCTATGTGATGAAAACGAGCAATCTGCAGTCAAACCTGAAAAGAATTCTGATAAAATTTGCCCTTGCGACACTTGCACATGTATCAACGCTGATTGCTCAAAACATATTCAAAGTTCAAACGCGAAAGGCAAATCAACAATTGGCAAAGACTCTGGCAGTATAATATGTGGGTGTCCAGATTGTAAACGTATTAGTGAAGAATGCACAGGTGAAAAAATAAAAGTAAAATCTACGCATGCCAAAAAAAATATTGGATCACAATACGCAGATTGCGACTGTGACGTTTGTAAATGTGAATCGTTTCCATGTAAAAATCCAATGAGTAGAAAATCGTCACATAAAAATAAATTACCAATAGGTCAAAGCTCCGAGATTTGTCCTTGTATTGAAGAGAATAACATTGATGATAAAACTTCAACCAAAGTTGCCAAGATAAAAGATGCGGAAGTTTCAAACTCGGCGAATGCTTGTCAAAATACTGATGAAGTACAAAGTCCTGAGTGCATATCAACTAATGTTCAATGCGATTCAACTGAACCCGCCGGAGTATCGATACAGGCATCGGCTCAGAAAAAAGTAGCAAAAACAGGTAAATGCTCATGCATAGAATGCCAATTTGAGCAAACGAAAAATAGTAAAGATTTCAAACCGATGCCAGCAAAAAGTTCAGACGAAGAGAAATTAAAAGCAAATATTTTATCCGGTCGGTGTTCGGAAAGTACCTCTAAACGGTCTATTTTAAAAGGTTCCACACTGATAGGAAATTCCGACGAATGCATCTGTAAAGGACGATGCGATTGTGCAGGGGAAGATTACGGCAAGTGCGTATGTGAAGACTGTTTGTGTATAGAATGCCCGTATGAAGATTGCAAGACTAGAAGAAAGGATTCTGGCGTTGTTGACTTAGAAAAACTTTGTAGTAGTAAATTTATACAATTTCCTGACACGAATAAACAAGAAGTGGGAATACAAGGTGATCAGGTTAAGAAAAGTCACAAGTCTTTGACTGCTATATGTCCTTGCAAGGACACGGAAAGTCAGACAGAGGCGAGTATATAACTTTTTTGCCTCTTTCAAACCAGGCTTTAGCTTTTCAGATATATATATATATATATATATATATATATATATATATATATATTTAGTAATTAAATAGCACTGCTTATGTACCTATCAAAATTTTATAACTTCGTTTTTGCTGACTTTTTTAAAAATTATTTTTCAATTAGGCTAAACAGCAGAAAATTGCTTGCACTCAATCTAGTTCACACAAATCGTCACCTAAAAAGCATGGAAGTAAATGTGATTGCATAGAATGCCTTTGCAGCGAATGTCGAGACGTCGTGAAGACTATGAGAAAATTGCAAGAATGTGTAGACACTAAAAGTAAGTTAACTTTTAGTTATGTTTATTCATGTTTTGGAAATATAGTATCATATAGTATTGCATATAATAGGCAGCGCTTTTTGGACATATTACTGCACTTCCGTGTTAATTGTGTAATTAATACAATTACAGATATTATAAGTCTGTTCAAAGGATATCCGTTGAAAATCGCATTGATTGGTTGTTAGTTTAATATTCAAGTGCATAATAAAGCTAATAAACAATAAGCTGCTAAATAAATTTGTTGCAAATGAACTATTAATATTGGTGTTAAAATAGAATTATAGAATAATAAAATTTACAATAATAATCAGTTGCACTAATTATTAACTTTATTGA